CTTGTCCAAGGCCACCCCATTGAGAAGCGGTTCCTGGACCCAGGAATGCAAGACACCGCAGTGTCCCCCCGAGCTGGGGGCTGAGCCCATGGCTCGGGGACGGCGGGGCTACCTCTGTGGGCAGCCTGAGGCCCAGCCCTCGGGGTCCCCTCTGCTGCCCCGTTCTCAGTGTCCCTGGGATGCACCGGAGGCCCCCTGGAGCTGGCTGCCGAGACTCTGCCTGAGGCTCACCCAAGGACACCCGGGCAGCAGGTGGCACCATCTGGCTGGGAGACCTGGTGTGGCTTGTTTGCCCCAGACAGCGAGCTCCCGAGGGCAGGATGGGGAGCAGGGCCTCTGGGGCCCGAAACCAGCACGGGGGCTCTCTAGTCCCTGGCAGGGGCATGGGGGTGGGGGACGGCTGCTGCAGGACTGAGAGGCCCCCAGGCTGCAAAGGGGCTTGAGCAAGCCAACCGGGATGGAGGGGAGAGGCCTTACCGCCAACGGCGTAGATCTCCCCGTTGAGCGCGGCGCTGGCGTGGTTTGTGCGGGCCTTCCGCATGGGCGCCACGGGCCTCCAGGCAGCCTCCTTCAGCGGGAAGCACCAGGCCTGGGTGGTTGCCCATGCATCTGTCTTGGTGCCCCGCGAGCCCCCTGCAAGAGCAATTCTGTCCACACAGGAGCCCACCACTCTGGGGTCCCTGGACACCAAGAGTCCTGGGGGCTTCTTCCCATGCCAGGCCTCCGTGATGCTGCACGCTAGGCCTTGGGGGGACTCGCACAGGTGCCTTGACCATCAGAACAAGGGGGACTAGACAGGTGGTCCCAATGCTCTGTCGTGGACGCCTCTCCCCCACCAGATCTTACAGGGACCCCCAGCTCCTCAGACGTAAAAGAGCAGAATTCCTTCTGGGGGGTCTAGCAGTGGGAGTGCAGACAGGCCACCCTGAGGGTCCACGTCAGAGCCCAGGACGTGTGACGCCTGCACCCGTGTGTGAACCCATGGACTTTAAGTTTCCTTGTTTCCACATCATGGAAATGTCTGGAAGCATCTTGACTAAACTGCCAGGGCCCCAGGGATGAGGGAGAGGGGTCCTCCGGGTGTATTAGTCAGCAGCCTGGGCCGCGCACCTGTGACATAGACGTCGTTGTTCAGCGCCGCCAGGGAGAAGCCCCACTTGTGGTAGTCAGGGAAGTCCGGGAGCGCCATCCACCTCTCTGGCAGGAAGAGAGGGGCAGAGGGGTCAGGTGGCTGCACTTCCTGCTGGGGCCGGTCCTCGCCCCCAGTGGGTACAGGGGTGTCCCCTCCACTACAGGAGGGGCAAGGGGTGGACTCAGCTGCCTC